AAATGCTGGGGCGGTCTGGACCCCTCCAGCCGCTCACTGCATAAATGGCCAAATTTACCGCGTAATTAAAGCATTTCCATTCAGGCAAGGCACCGCGTAAATGACCAAACGCGCAAACAAAAGCCGCATAAATGCAGACTATACTGTAGTTCATCTATTTGTTTATTAACATCGTTACTAGTCACTACTATCTCGCTTAATTTATTTCCTTCACTACGGTATGTCTCTATATCGTTGGTGCCTCGGGTATCATGTTTAAATTTTGGGTGGTGAAAACTGTTGAAAAATTTCTGAGTATGAATAGTGTGAGGGGTTGTTAGAGGTAAAACAAAGATCATGAATGTAGTAAGTTGATCATGTTGAACTGGAACACCTGTAGGGTGTTTAATTATTTGTTCCAGATTATTAAGTAAGGAAAAAGAGAGTGCCTCAGCTCCACCGGGGTCATCCCTTGCAGAGCCAAGCCACTCTCTGTGATGTACATTGAAATCCCCTAGGTAGAGGATCTCAGTGTTGGGGTGTGTGGATAGCAATGGCTCATGGCAAGAAGTGAGACAGTTAAAGAGTTCTAAATAGTTGATAGAGTTGGGAGAACAGTAAAAAAAAAATATAAAATAGTCATAGTTGGTAGATATTTTGTGCCAGATGACATCAAAAAGAGAAGATTCAAGATCCGTGAGTCGAGCTATACTGTAGGTGTACGTGCGTTGCAGTAAATACATACACCTCACTTAGCACGGAAAGAAGTATAAAGGTTGTAGTTGGAGACTTGAAAAGGTTTGGGTGAAGCTGCTTTGGTCGGTTGAAGTTCAGATAGTAGTAAGAGGTCGGGGAAAGAAGTTAATACTGTAGATGGTGCTCCACAGAAGGAAAACTGGATCTCAAGCCGTGAATGTTGGAAAAATCTTGTGTTGTGTTTTAGTTTGAGAAATTTGGAAGAATGTCTTGGGATTTGACTTCATCTCCCTTGCTACCTTCAATTCATTATTCCTCTTAACCCTACCGGCCAATACCTTATAATAATCTCGGAGGTAAACTTCACCACGATTTATTCTCCTACCTATAGCCGTCCTTTGTCCAATAATATTCTTTAAATAATTATTTATCCATTTGGGGTTGTTGTTATTTGATCTGAGTTTTCTGTATGTTATATTTAAATTTTTGTGGAACTCGTCAACCTCAGATCTTGTGATTAGGTCATCCTCGACCATCATATTTTGTAAGGTTATCACTGTCAGGTCACCTGGTAAAGTGAGGTCGCCCTCTGAGGGTACATTGTGTGAGGTCACCTCACATGAGGTCATGTAATTCAACCCCAAACATGATACTCCTTCTCTCAGCTGCCTTTTCAGCCTATCAAAGTTTGCTCTTCTGAAATCTGGAACTTTAATGGAATTTTCCTTGCGTCTGAGATTAAGTTCTACTTTAAATCTCACTTCTTTGTGATTGCTGTTAGCCAGTTCGTTCCCAACCTCCACATTACTCATTAGGTTTTCTCTGTTTGACAGAACTAAATCTAGTATATTATTCCCCTGGATGGGTTTGGCTATATGTTGACTTTGGAAAGTCCTGAACTGTTTCAAGAAAATCCTCTGATTCTGAGCTACCTGTAAGGTCAGTCCAGTCTATTTGGCTAAAGTTAAAGTCGCCTACTATACAGACTTTGCTATGTCTGGATGCCCAGCACATTTCATACCAAATAAGTCGCTCATTAACTCTATCAAGATTAGAAGGTCTACATATTACTCCTATGATTAATTTTTCCCTACCACCGGTTAATTCTAACCAAATTGTTTCTGTATTCAGTTCAGTTTTTGTTTCCCCGTTGATTACACACTTCAGATTATCCCTGACATAGATTGCTACTCCGCCTCCTTTCCTAATCTGCCCAACGGTATGGAATATTTTGTAACCTTTAATATGGTATTCGACAGGTAACTCACGTGAGTAAGTTTATCCATGTTTTGGTGAATGCTGTTATATAAATTTTTTCAGTACACACCAATGCCTGATTTCACCCATTTTATTTCTCATACTTCTACTGTTTGCATAGTAGACATTTAAGTTAGTCGTGATCTGCGTCCTCCCTTTGTCGCATATAGGCTTTAACTCCCTGCCTAATTTTGCTTTGTCAACATTCCTAGCACTATTTCTCTGTAACCTTTCACTTTGTTTACCCATGTCCACTGCAGTCTCCTCCACCTCTGTGCTCACAAGTTCCCCGAGCATTTTAAAGACTTCAACATCTTTTGAACTGTCCTCTCGAGAGAGCCACCCAGGGTTGCCACCTGATCCCTGGACAAATGCACCCCATCCCTAGCATAAGGGTCCCTTCTGCTGTAGAAGTTGTCCCAGTTGCCAATGAATGGGACTGATATTGACTTGCAATATCTGTCAAGATGGCCACTGACACCAACTGCCCTTGAAAACGATTCATTGCCAACTCTCCTTCTAGGCAGGACACCACATATGATAGGGATCCCTCCCTTCATCCTAATACATTCATAGCTGCCTTGAACTTATCAAGGAGCTCCTCACTCCTACACAGGTTTATATCATTGGCTCCTGCACTGAGGCAGATAATGGGTTTGTTCCCATTACCAGACAAGATAGTGTCCATCCTGTCAACTATATCCCCCACCCCAGCTCCTGGTAAACACACTCACATCCTAGTTCTATTTTTGACACAAAAAGCTCTATCCAGGCACCGTTCCTTGGAATCACCAACAATTAAGGTTTTCGTACCTTCCTTGCCAACCCTGTCCTAGACTATGTTCCGTTCAATTCGTCTACCAATGGAATAAATAAGTTAGTACACTTAGCTGTATTCGTTTCCTTGTCTTTCGTCACCACCAGTTTGGTCATTCCTCTCCTCACAACCCTCCATTGCCCTGTGTTTTCGTCAGACTCTCCCTGTCTCGTGTCTTCCTCCTTCATCCTCACAATCACTTCCTTTAATTTCTAGTTTTTGTCCTTGACCTTCACTAACTCGGCCCTCAGAAGGGCACACAGCTGCTCACAACTAACACTAGCCATTGCACTGCCGGTTAGTCCCTGGGAGCTAAAACGGCCGTGACCTTTCCTCTAGTGAGGTCAGCACACATGATGGGCTGCCCCTCTACAAGGGCTGAGTTGTGGTACCACAGACACTTAGGGGTGAAGTGTTGGAAATGCTCCGCTCCACCCACCAAGACACACATGGAATGTCTGGTGGCCGAACATTACAGGGGACAACAGGCAGAAGAGGGCCAGGTATTCTATATGCAACGAGGTAGCCCCTTCCCAGCCTGACACACATCCACCAGTCTACCCATTCCAGCAAATTTGCACTGATTATTTCTCCTTGAATAGGTCAAGTTACCTGGTAATAGTGGATAGGTAAAGCAACTGGCTCTCTATTTTCCACTGTGGTGAGGGTGAGGCTGATGCGAAGGTGCTTGTCAAGCACCTGTGCACCATGTTCCACATGTTCAGGGAGCCTGAGGAGCTGTCATCTGATGGAGGACCACAATTCGAGGCCTACGAGACCAAGTGCTTTCTCCGCACCTACAGTGTCTGCCATAGAGTGTCTTTCGTGGGTTTCCCACATTCCAACCTGCGTGCAGAGCTGGCAGTGAAGTGGCAAGAGGCTCGTCAGAGGTAATGCTGACACGGAGGGTAGGCTGAACAACAATAAATTTTTTCAGGCGTAGTTGCTGTATAGGAATACCCCTGATCAGGATATTGGGCCATCACCAGCCCATATCCTCTTCGGTAAGCAGATAAAAGACTTCATCCCCATCACAAGCGACAATTTCAACCCTCAGGAAGAATGGAGAATGACTGCAACTGAGCGGAAGTGGGCTTTGTGAAGGCACCACGTCACAGTGGTTGAAAGATGGTTGGAGAATACCAAAAGCCTACCACGCCTGGCTATCTGTGACACTGTCCAGGTGCAGAACCAGGAGAACAATCGCCCCAGTCAAATAGTTGAGGTGCTGGAGTATGACCAATAAAGAGTCAAAATGCATGGTTCAGGGAGAACCACAATCCTCAGACAGATTGAGTTGTATGTTGTGGACCAGCACATCCCTGACTCTGCTCCCAGGCCCATTGCCAGAGGAAAGATAGGTGTCACCTAGGTTTCCGCCAACCCCGATACGGTCACCACCACCTGCCATGCCTGTGACAACACCTCTGCAATGGCTGAACCCTCGAGCCGGTGATTATAAGTCACGCCTCTGATGCCCATTCAGGCACCACCTGATTTGGAAAGCCCACAATTACGTTCACAGACAAAAGAAGGCTCAGCGGACAACGGTTGTACAGTGGGAGCAATGGGGCCGTAGGAACCAGGTGTCCGTGGGAGGTCTGTTAGGGTTAGGAATCCGTTGAGGAAGCTCAGCCCTTGCATGCGCGAGAAGACCCACCAGTTCACGGAAGCTTCCTGCATCTCTTACACGGTCAATGTGACCCAGCCGCCCAATATCACCAGCATGGTAGGGGTCTCGAGGATGTCCTCTTCGGATGTTGCCAAACAACATACAGTACCTGGAAACAAGTACTGGCTGTCTCCCCTTGATCACTGGGAAGTCAGCTTCATTAGGGGGAGGGCATCATTGATAATACTACTTGTGTAATGTTTGTTTGATTAGACTACTTATGTAATGTTTGTTTTTCTTATCTTACACAGTGTGTATGGGCATGTATTGTGATCAAGGATATTAAATACATTTCAAAATAACAAGTGTCTATTCCTCTGATCCATAAACATTGAATAACTTGTGCATGTGGCAGGTGGGCTTGTGAGTGTGATGTCTGTATGGTGTTGTTTGCTGGCATCACAGATTAAGATGTAACCCATTTAGATAGTGAAGGATGTCATCTAATTATCCTGTTTTGCAAAGTTATGTAACAAACTCATTCTACACCAACCACTTTACTTTTATCAGGGATAAAATGAACAAGAAAAACTGAGATGACTCAAGCCAGTTTATCACAAATACTAGAACAAGACTCACATATCTATGTCAGATCCAAGTGCACCAAGGAACTCCAACTGTCTCTGCTGTAGTCGTTCCTCTTTCTCATAACTCTGCTCCACAGTATAGTCCTCACCTGAACAATACATAGATATATTACAATACAATAAAGAGGAAAGTGTTTTTCTCAAAGACCCTGTATGGAACAATCAGTTTAATTTACAAAAGATTTCCTGGGGACTAAAAAACAAGTTATATGACATTGCAGGTAAACACAGGCTATGTTAGATGGAGTCAATCCAAGGAAATGGAGGATTAAGGCACTTAGGACTTAGCAATAGCAAGGCCCTCCCACACTTGAAATGTGTCCAAGTAACAAATGCATTGTAACCTACCTAACCAACAAATCCTTATGAATCTATGAGTTGCTTCTGAAGCTAGGAGAGAATTCATCTTGGGGCTGTGTTCTCTACGGGACATTCCTTCCAACACACTAACCATGTGGACACCATAGTGCATGACCCAAACCTCCTGCTTATTGAAAACTTAGCTCAAGGGAGGAAGAAAGAAACCCAGGTCATCTGCTCATCTCCTCAATGTTGACAATTGGAATTCAAGCCATAATCTGCCATGTATGGGAAGGGAACCTTGTGAAAAACTGAGAGACCAAAACCAGCAGGGAACACTTATTCCACAACGTGGCTTAGAAAAAAAGAAAATATAATATAAAACTCTAAAATAAGAAATATGCGGAACATGGGTGAGTCTGTGTGGGAAGTGAATGTATGTGGAGGCAGTGGGTTACTGGGCTATACAGTAACTATATGGCTGTGGTCCTTCCCGATGTGATGTCACAGCATACACACACCCCGGACAGGAGCCACCTCTGGAGACAGCTGAGTGACTGCCCGAACTGTGTCATGTTGCCCAAAGGATGGTTTGAATGTGGAAGGAGCTATTTTGTGTTCCTAAAATATGTGCTATTGTATTTTATGATAAGCTATGGATTGATTTTATTGCTTAAAATAGAAATAAATATGGCAGCTCATCATGTTGTGCGTCTCTCTCTCTCTCTGATATGAACCCCAAACTCTGAATTCGAAGCCTTCACTTGTGAGTGGGAGGGGTGTTGAGGAGGAGAGACAGGATATTGGGGGTGACAAAGTGTATATCAGTTGAGAAAGACTACAATGCATTGACAGTACCGACAGGGTTTCCTCAGCCGAGTGTAATCATCTAACACTAGCCAGATGAAAATACTAAAGTTACATGTTATAAATAAGGTGTTCCTTTGTAAAAGAAGGCATTTATGATCAAATGGATTATGGATATGTTTGAATTTTTATCTTGTACAAGCAGCGATGTTTTGTTTAACCCCTTGACTACGAGATGGAACTTACCCGGCTGAATAAAATTGTCTGGCAGTATTCAGAATAAAATATAAAAGAACACATCATACTGAAGGATTAATTAGCAATCAAAACATTCAGGAGGTAGGCACCACATATTTATTGTAATACAAACTTGATGTGAACAAAAAAAGTTCAGTTAACAGCTGTCCAGTACAGGATCAGCAAACTACATAGTTCACTTGTGCCAAACAGTGAGGTTAAATGGGTAAAGGTTAAAAAATGACATTATTATTTTCACCATTATTACAAAGTATACAATTGATGGTGCAAAACGATATAGCTGTTGCTTAAAGGTCTTAAGTACAGGGGCCCCCCCAAATTCGCAGGGGTTAGGTTTTCAAAATGGCGAACAACATTTGCGGACCAGGAGGGGGTAAATTTTTACTTGTATACAAAGAAATGTATATTCCCTTAGGACAATTTTTTCTTTTACCTTTATTGTATATACAGTAAGTCCTCGCTTAACGTCGTCCAGCAAAAAGTTGTTTCGGTACTAAGTCGCTAAACTTAAGAGACCAAAAATTCAATACAACGTCATTTTGCATCATCACGGACTACTTTTTACGGTGCATCACCCTCTCTCATCTGGCCACGCTACGCTCTCTCGGCTCGGCGCGCTGCCCTCACTCTTATAAGGTCACAGCATCCCCAAGCGACGCCAAACCAGTCTCTGTTAAGACTTCACATCGTTCGTGTGTGCTTAAGTGCTTTTGCTCTAAAACTGTACTCTAACCATTCGACATGGCTTCCAAGCATCCATCAAGTACTACTGATGCTAGTGTAGTGAAGAGGCAACGTAAGACCATTACCCTGGCTACGAAAATGGATGTATTAACCTGATTTGAAAAAGGGGAATGTGCTGTGGATATAGCCGCTGTGCTTGGTCTAACCCCCACAACGGTGCGTACTATCCGGACCAACGCTGACAAGATTAAGGTTAGTGCTGGAAGTGGTACTACTCTGAGTGCAACTAAAACAACTCGTACAAGAAGCACTAAGATAGAAAAGGTGGAAAAGATGTTGGCTATGTGGATGGAGGACCAGAATCAACGCAATGCCCCTGTGAGCCTTATGGTTATCCAGCATAAAGCCAGATCTTTGTTTGACAACATGAAGGAAACAGAGGGTGAAGGATGAGACCTTTATGGCCAGCCAAGGATGGTTTCAACGATTTAAACGCAGGTATAACTTCCACAATATTAAGATGACTGGTGAAGCTGCCAGTTCAGATATGGTTGCTGCCGAGGCATTCCCGCCAGAATTCAAGCAGATTATCCAGGAAGGAGGCTACTCATCGAAGCAAGTCTTCAATGTAGATGAGACTGGTCTCTTTTGGAAGAGGATGCCTGAGAGGACCTATATCTCCTATATCGCCAGGTTTTAAAGCAGCAAAAGACCGCTTGACGATGATGCCTGGCGCGAACGCTGCCGGCGACTTTGTTCATATATCATATAAAATTGGACAGTTGGACAGAAAAAGAGCCACCTCAGATATGAGAGCAGTACTCCAAGTTAGGACAAATGAATCCCTTATATACTTGAAGCAACTGCTCAGGAGTGGAGTAGCTACGGCAAGGAACAAATGATTGAAGTTAAGAACCTAAAAACTATTATTCTAAAGAAATGATGGACCTGTACATATAACAACTTCATGAAAAATTTGCTTACAAGCTTCTACCCTAAATTTGAAATGTGCTTAGTAATATTTATATATCAACATAGTATTACTGTGTTGCACAGTAAAACACAATTAATTATCTAATAATATTTATTAAGAGCTGATCAGCCAAGAAGGATGGACAATTACTTCCAGGGTTCATCAAGGCAGACAAAAGAAATTTACCAAAGTTGATGTCATTATGATAGTAGAGTATTATCCAGAACTCCGCCATCCAGCTATGAAACACACTAAATTACATCTGTCATCTGATCATCTCAAGCCCATTCCCCCGCTATGGTCGTCCCTAGTCCTTCCACAACATTAAATATAGACATCAATGATGAAAACTTACATTTTCCAGACATGAAATAGAGAACAGTGGTGAAAACTTCCATGTTGGAGTTATCGGTCTTTTGTATCATTTTGGCTCCCAGCAAGTAAATAAACACGATGATACTTGAGCACTAATTTATTTTAACCTAAAATTAAGGTATGCCTATATACAGCTGCTCCCTGACTTACGACGGGGTTAGGGACCCAAATCCAGGTCGTAAGTCGAATTGGTCGTAAGACGAAAATGCTTAAATAATACATAGAAAATCTAAAATGGGGGTCTCTTTTTCTTCTCAGCATCACAAAACTCTTACTTTTAAGCATGCCAGCCATTTTAAACTGAATTACAAACGAAAATTTTGTCAGTACACAGCGCAATCACTGACGTTGGGACTCGAAAATACGTAATTTGACAAAATTTTGGTACAACTGAGGCGGTCTTATGTCCAGGTGGTCATAAGTCGAGTAGGTCATAAGTCGGGGAGTAGCTGTATATCAAAATTGTATATGGCCAAAAGTCCTGTATTCGGCTGGTAACAACACACACACCACAGCTGGCTGGGCGGCTAGCGCCAACCAGTGACATCAGAAACCAATCACAGAGCTTCTCGCAGTCACGTGACTTTTTAACAACTTTAACCCTTAATTTTTTGGCCTAATTTATTTAAAAATATCATTACCATCGTGAATTTAAGCATTTTCTTTACCCATTGACCTGGCATCTTACGAAAAAATTCCGACCATCAACTCATCCATTGTGTGTAAATGAGGCAGAAAGTCAGATTAGCAACCTGGGACTTGGTCACAATTTTCATGATGCCATATGGCAGCAGGGTCTACCATTAGACAATACATTATGCTTCCAATATCTTCCCAAGCGGCAGTACCTCCCTGTTTGGTAGCTGCCTACTACCTACTGAGTTTAGTTAGAAACTCTATTTCTTTACTATAACAATCCAGAATAATTTATCTAAAAGTTTGCTTAAAAAAATATACTTAAAAATTAAAAATCTATAGGATATAGGCAAGAATGAAGCTGTGTGTTACAGCAACGACTGTTATTTTCCACTCCCATGGAGCTGTGGGAGATTAGTGGGTCTCATGGTAATTGACCTGACCTGATGCAATGTCAGGTGGAGGTAGGGTGAGGGATTAGTAGTCTCATACAGTATAACTGACCTTCTGATGGAATCAAGTCACCCTTTCTTGGGTAGGGGATTAGTGGGTCTCATGACCTGAAAATGTCTTGAATAAAGAAGAAACCTAAAGTATTTTTAAGGAGATTGTGAAAAGTATAAATGAACAAAGTTGTATCCCTTCAACATTACATTACATAACATTTTAAAATATGGGTAGAGAAAGCAGAAAGGTGTGGGTAATTAGAGAGATGGAGTGGAAAGGAGTAGTATCACGCACCAGTGTTTTGCCAAGCGCTCCTCAACAAAAGATATTTAACTCTCTTTCTGTGTGTGTGTGTGTGTGTGTGTGTGTGTGTGTGTGTGTGTGTGTGTGTGTGTGTAATAATAATAATAATAATAATAATAATAATAATAATTAACGGTTTATTGAAAAAGTTCTGCAGCCCGAAGGCTTAAAATATACATTGGACAAAATGACTTATTACATACATTGGTGGTTTAACAAAAGCCTTCATTAGAGAAAGGTACAGGAACATAGTGAATATACAGATTAAGGTAGGTGTTGAACAGCAAACACGTAGTGTAGTAACTC